CCCCCCTGGGGGGGGGGGGGGGGGGGTGATTTACCGCTTTTTGTCTTTCTGGTGAGCACATGTGCCCTATTTAATTTATCATCGTCGTTACTTGTTCAATTTGACCAGAGACAGACAGAGAGAGAGAGAAACAGAAAGTAGGAAAACAAAGCTCCACGTCCGGGACTCAAACGTGGTCAGCCATCTAGGAGTCCAGCGCCTTAACCACCAGGCCACCAGCCGGCCCGATATAGTCTATCATAATAATTTCCATTTTATAGCAAAAAACTGAGGACCAGAAGCCTACTCCACAGATTTTGTTTCCCTGGTCCTGCTTTAGTATAAAAGGACTGGACTGAGAGTGTTCTGGACCAGGTCTTAGGAACGTGGCGTTCACCTAAGTACTAAACAAGATCGCAGAGTCTGGCGTCTATAGAAACCGGCATGCCCCGGCCGGCCTGAGCAAGAAGCTAAAAGCGAGATCAGAAATAAGGCAAAGCTTTCCACACTCACACACACCTACCAAATCCCGAAGTGAGAACACGTATCAGGACGCTGCCCCACCCCGTAGCAAGGGAAATAACCAAACTGAAGGGTAACTGAGCACAAAAAACAGTTCGCATCCGTCGCAACGGCATCACGTGACCGGAGCGGGGAACGTGCACCGGTACCTCGCGTACCTTCGTTCAGGCTGGCTCCGCCGGACTCATTGAGCAACACTCCCGCCCGCCCCGGAAGTGAGGGCGGAGCCACTAACGTGTTGGAGCCAGGGAGCGGAAGTGGCTCTTAGAGGCTTTAAAAAGGTGGTTTCCAGCTGTCTTGGGACCTCTCGTTTTGCCTGGAGTCGGGGTTCACTAGCCGAATGGCTTTGGACGTGAAGTCTCGAGCAAAGCGTTATGAAAAACTGGACTTCCTCGGGGAAGGACAGGTGAGGCTCCGGGCGGGATTAAGAGGGCCCGGAGCGGAGAGCCCCTGGCCGCCTCACACCTTGTCAGGGTTTCTCGTGGAGACCAGAGGAGTGAGTTGGTGAGAGCGGCCGCGCATACGCACCTGGCGCTCCTCCTTACACCCCGAAGGGGAACCGTAGGGTGGCTTTCCTTCCCGGAGTGTAGCTGGGAGTTTGACGTGGAGTCTCCGACAACGTTTCTAGCCACTTACACTGTTCAAAAACCCTGGGTTCTTCGCTTCCTTAAATGTAATAAAAGCAAAATGACATACTCAAAGAAAGTACTTACAGAAACTTAGGTAATTCCTATTTTACTTTCTAGTTTGCCACGGTTTATAAGGCCAGAGACAAGAATACCAACCAAATTGTCGCCATTAAGAAAGTGAGTTACATCTTATGTTGTTTTTCCTCAAGTGTCTTTGAAGATGTCTGTTATGGGCTGTACAGTTGCCGCTTTACTATTTTAACATTTAAAAATATTAGGGGGACCAGCAGTTTGCGTAATGGCTATGTCGCTGGACTCCCATGTAGTTGACCGCAGTTCGAGTCCCGGAACCAGTGGCTTAAACTCATGCTGGGCATATGTGCGTGAGGGCCCAAGACCCCGAGAGGAGAATGGAGAAGGGATTGCAACATGGCCATCCCCCCTGGAGGGTGATTTCTCGCTTTCTGTCTCTGTCTCTCAGGCGAGCGCATGTGCCCTATAGGAAAAACCTCTCCAAAAAAAAAAGCAGGGTCACCAGGTGGCATGGGGGTTAAGGCTTTGAATTTCCACATGGCTGACCACAGTTTGAGTCCTGTACCTGGAGGCTTGAAAGTCATCTTAGGGCGTTTGTTGTATTCGTGTCTAAAATCCTGTCAAGAGAATGGAGGAGAAGGCATTGCAGTGTGGCCATCGCCCCGGAAGGGGGGGTGATTTCTCACTGTCCCTCTCACTGTTTGTCTCCTAAGAGCATCTGCCCCTATGGCAAAACAAAAACAATTTTTTTCTTCTCTTCCTCCTCCTTTTTTATTGCTAGAGGTGTATTTCTTACACAAGAGAGAGGTGGAGAGGTGGTACCTCCTGGTGGGGTGATCAGTACTGCATTCTTTTCCCCTTATTTCTCCTTCCGGTCAGGATTCTGGACATGGTCACATGTTTCCAGCTTGTTTTTCAAGCCCCAGGGTTCAGGATTCCAACTCAGAGGCCACTGGAATCCAGCTTTCAATGCAGAGGGCTTAACCACTATACCATGGTAACCTGGTTTACTGTTCTTGACAGTGCTGATAATGAGTTACTCATGTTGTTCTCAGGCAGTAGACTTAATTAATGCCTTATATTCTAAGATTGGAACTCTGGGGTAGAACCAGTTGTTGTTGTTGTTTTTATTGTTGTTGTGTGTGTGTTTGTGTGTTTGTCTTCTTTCCTGGCTAGAAGAGAAAGAAAGCAGTTCTGACAGCAGGATCTCCATGTGGTTGGTGATCCATCCCCAACCTCACCTAGCCTCCATCATGGGCAAACATGCTGGGTACTCAGTAAGGTCTTGTGACCTAATCAGAACTGGAGCCTTCCCATGTGAGTCAGCCTTCAGGCAATCCAGCTCCTAGAACTTACTCTATTAATTTTTTTTAACTGTCACAAATAGGACTTTTTATTTGGCACTATTAAAAGTCTAAACTTCAGGGCCAACAGGTTTGATGGTTCAGGGTGCTAGACTCCCACATGGCTGACCACAGTTCAAGTCCTGGACCTGGTGGCTTGCTTTCTCACTTTCTCTCTCGCTCTATCTGTCCCTAGCTGGTCAAATTTAAATAAATAAGTAAAGTTAAATAAAATAATTATATTTAAAAAAAAAAAAGTCTAAACTTTAAATAGATTCTTGGAGTGGTGGTTCATATCCAGTAGCTTATTCAACTTCAGCGCCCTTCTCATCCCAAGTAGTTTTTCCAGAGCTACACCTTCACTATGAAGCTCCATGAGTTTTCCCAATTCAAACTTGGGCTTCTTCAGCATTTTTACTTTCCTGACAAAGACATCATGGAGAGGGCAGATGGATTGGCAAGCCTTTCCTATGTCTTTTCCAATGCTGTCTACAATCAGTTTACCGACCACTTCTTTCAAGTCATTTGTCTGTACTTCCCGAGTCATGATTTCTATCAGCTTCTTCTGGATTTGGCGGATCTGCTGATGCTGGGCATAAGAGTTCGTATCTGATTGTTGCGTTTTTTTAGTAAGCTCAACACAGAAGAGATGAAGCAAATAACCATCGGTAGTCTTGACATCAACATGAGCTTCAATCATGGTCTGTTTTTGATCGTGGAGCACATTTTGTCACGGGTAAGATCCATGCCATGGAAGTTAGGCAGTTTTTGCCCTGAACATTCTCAGTAATTAACTTGAATTTCCTAATGTGACTTCATCATTGTGCAGATCTGCAGGGCTCACTTCAAACACATGGCCCTTAAGGTTGTCAAACACAATTCTGGCTTCTTGAGTACTAGTGACTAGTGTTTTCCCAATATTTCTTATTTTGAACATAGCAGGTGCTTTCACATCATACCAATCTTTTTTAGAAAATGGATCAACCACTTTCTTCTTGACTCCCTTTTTGCCGCCTTTTGTAAGGCACTTATTTAATTAAAAATAAAAAAGTCATGAATTTGAGAAAGAGAAAAAGACAAACACTCTCAACAGAATCTCACACCTTACCCTTCTATAGCCTTCCCAGCCAGGCAGGATCATAGGCATATGTGCTCAGTGTACTGGATATAGGTTGGCTGAGGACCCCAGGATAGTCCATATATTGGTAGATCCAGCTTCACTTGAGCAGTGCGCTACTGCAGCACCTGTTCTGTTCATTTAAATTGAAATGAAGAGGAAATTTTGTGTTACTTTTGCCTCATGCATTCAGAAGTTGGCTGAAGTAGTATCACTCATCTGTTGGGTCCTCAGAACTATTGGATATCATGATCTGTGTAACTTTTCTCCCTCAAGCACATTTCCTTTATATGTCATATTTGTATTTTCTGTGTGCATATTTATTTTAGACTTTTGCCATAGGTTGTGTGTGGTCACTGGAGAGACAGAGAAAGGGAGAAATCACCCCCCTGAGGTGGTCACACCATAATCCCTTCTCCAGTCTCCTCGAGATTTGGGGCACACATGCCTGGTGTGATTTTCTTTACATTTTTTTAAAAAATGAATTATTTATTTGATTTATTATATTTTTAAGAATTATTTTATTTAATTAATTAATTTATTTATTTGACCAAAGGGGGACAGATGAGAGAGAGAGAAAGTGGAAAAGTAAACCACCACCAGATCTGGGACTTGAACCATGGTCGGCTATGTGGGAATCCATCGCTGTTAACCACCACACCACCTGCCAGCCCCTATTATTATTTTTTAAAGAAGTATTTATTTAATTTTATTCATTTTCTTTTCAAAAATTTGATCAGAGGGACCAGCAGTTAGCATAATGGCTATATCGCTGGACTCCCATGTAGTCGACCGCGGTTCACATTCCAGACCTGGTGGCTTAAACTCACGCCGGGCGTGTGTGCATGCGTGCCCAAGATCCCGAGAGGAGAATGGAGGAGAAGGGATTGCGGTGTGGCCATCCCCCCTGGGGAGTGATTTCTCGCTTTCTGTCTCTCTGTCTTTCTCTGTCTGTCTGGCAAGCGTGCACGCCCTATCGCAAAAACCTCTCCAAAAAAAAAAAAATTTTGATCAGAGCGAGACAGAGAGAGAAAACAGGAAAGTGAGAAAGCAAGCCATCAGGTCCAGGACTTGAACCATTGTCGGCCATGTGGAGTCCAGCACCTTAACCACCAATCTGCCTGCCAGACCATTATTATTATTTTTTAATTTGTTCAGAGAGAGAAATGGAAAGAAAGCTGCCAGTTAGATCCAGGACTCGAACCATGGTCATCATGTGGGAATCTAGCACCTTAACCACTGTGCCATCTGCTGGCTCCTCTGCATGCATATTTATCATAAAAGGCTTTGACTAGCATCAACTACATTGATGTGCATTTTCTAAAATAATTTTTTTAAAGAATTATTTTACATAACTTTATTTATTTATTTTAATTTGATCAGAGAGGGACAGAATGAGAGTGAAAGAGAAAATGAGAAGGTAAGCTGCCAGGCCTGGGAAGTTAGAAAAAGTAACACAAAAGTAACACAAAATTTCCTCTTCATTTTAAACCATGGTCAACCATGTGGGATTCCAGTGCCCTTAACCACCATTCCACCTGCCACCTGCCAGTCCCATCTAAAATTATTTAGCCTTCTTTTTTTTGTTTGTTTTGGCCAAAAGGCTTGTGCATACTAGAGAAAGAGAGAGAAAGCACCCCTAATGGGACCTGATCATGTTACAATCTATTTTCCTCCAGTTCTTTATCTGTCAAGATCCTGGTTACTACATATAAGTCCTTAGGGCTAGAACTTGAACTGTGGTTGGCTGTGTGGGATGTGGCTTCTACTGGGAAGCGCTTAACTGCTATGCTGTGAGTCCTGCCTGAAAGAGAGATTTTCGGTAGGGTCTTACCTTGTGTCATGATCCTTCTGCTTAGACTCCCAGTTATCTGGAACCACAAGCACATGTCTCCTGGCCTGTGTAGGTTGGACTAGGGACCAAACCCTCCCTTGTGCCATGAGCAGTTCCCTCTCAGTTTGCTACCTTGGTTGGGCCTAATGCGTATCTGTCTGGTTTTTTTTCTCTCTACCAGATAAAACTTGGGCATAGATCTGAAGCAAAAGATGGTAAGTACTTAATGTAATATGACAGAACAGAAAAGCTTGTATTCTCACTAAGAATTGAGCAAAGTATTATTAAGAATTAGCAATTATTCTAGATAACAGTTATTTCATAGTCCCGAAAGAGTAGAGATAGACTCAGGATAGACAAAGGATATTTGGTGATTTTTACTATTTGGGTGTTCAATGGAAACTTCAAATCATGTAGCTTGTCTTGTTACCTTCATTGCTGTTTTGGTGTTATGAGCGACTATTATTTTTTTTTTAAGAATTTTTTATTTTTTGGGAACCAGCAGTTAGCATAATGGCTATGTCGCTGGACTTCCACGTAGTCGACTGCGGTTCGCTTCCTGGATCCGGTGACTTAAAACTCACGCCGGGCACGTGTGCATGCGTGCCCAAGATCCCGAGAGGGGTACGGAGGAGAAGGGATTGCGGCGTGGCCATCCCCCCTGGGGGGTGATTTCTCACTTTCTGTCTCTATGTTCCTCTCTGTCTGTCTGGTGAGCGCACGCGCCCTATAGCAAAAATCTCTCCAAAAAAATTTTTTTTATTTTAATTTTATTCATTCATTTATTTTTTTAAAAAATTATTTTATTTATTTAACTTTACTTATTTTATTTATTTTTAATTTGACCGCAGAGGGACAGAGTGAGAGAGAGAGAAAAAAAGAGAGATAAAAAGTGAGAAAGTAAGCTGCCAGGTCCGGGACTAAAACCACAGTCAGCCATGTGGGTATCCAGGGCCCTTAATCACCACGCCACCTGCTGGCCCCACTGTTCATTTATTTAAATTTGACCAGAGAGAGACACAGAGAAAGAGATTGAAAGTGAGAAAGCAAGCCACCAGATCTGAGACTTGAACTGTGGTTAGCCATGTCCAAGAGTGTCTGGCACCTTAACCATCATGCGACCCGCTGGCCCCAATCCATTTTTTAAAATTATTTATTTATGGGAACCAGTAGTTAGTGTAATGGCTATGTTGCTGAACTCCCATGTAGTTGACCGCAGTTCGCGTCCTGGACCCGGTGGCTTAAAACTCATGCCGGGTGCATGTGCGTGCGTGCCCAAGATCCCGAGAGGAGAATGGAAGAGAAGGGATTGCGGCGTGGCCATCCCCCCTGGGGGGTGATTTCTCGCTTTCTGTCTCTATGTCTCTGTCTGCCTGGCGAGCGCACGCACCCTATAGCGAAAAACAAAACACAACAAAACCTCTCCACAATTATTTATTTATGAGCTTCTGATTACTTTGAAAAATCAAGATACATCTTTTTTTTTTTTTTTGGAGAAGTTTTTGATATAGGGCGTATGCACTCACCAGAATGACAGAGAGAGAGAAAGCGAGAAATCACTCCCCCCAGGGGTGGAGGGTCTCTTCTCCTCCATTATCCTCTTTGGATCTTGGCCACGCACGCATATGCACCCAGCATTAGTTTAGGCCACTAGGTCTGGGATTCAAACCACAGTCCACTACATGGGAGTCCAGCGACATAACCATTACACCAGCTGCTGGTTCCCAGGATATATCTTCTCGAAGTACACAAAGCTCACTGTGGAATAGTATGAGAAAAAAGGTTTCTTTATCCCTTCTTCTAAAGCCTGCTAAATCCTATTTAATTGTCGCAAAATAGGTGTTTTTTTTTTGTTGTTGTTTTTTGTTTTGTTTTGTTTTGTTTTTGAGAAGATATATAGGGCACGTGCACTCACCAGACAGACAGACAGACAGAAAGCAAGAAATCACCCCCCGGGGTGATGGCCATGCCGCAATCCCTTCTCCTCCGTACCCCTCTCAGGATCTTGGGCATGCACGCATACATGCCCGGCGTGAGTTTTAAGCCACCCGGTCCGGGACGTGAACCGCGGTTGACTACGTGGGACGCCAGCACCATAGCCATTATGCTAACTGCTGGTCCCCAGTAGGGTTTTTTTTTTTTTGAGACAGATTTTTGCTATAGGGTGCTCGTGCTCCCCAGAGAGACAGAGACAGACAGAAAGCGCAAAATCATCCCCCAAGGGACATGGCCATGCCACAGTCCCTTGTCCTCCATTCTCCTCTTGGGATCTTGGGCACACATGTGCCTGGTGTGAGTTTTAAGCCACCAGGTCCGGGGTTCAAATTGCATTGACTCTGTGGGAGTCTAGCAATGTAACCATTATCCCATCTGTTGGTCCCCAAATACAGTTCTTATAAAAGAGACCCATTATTGGGACTGGCAGGTGGCGTGCTGGTTAAGGTTCTGGACTCCCATATGGCTTGCCATGGTTTAAGTCCCAGACCTGGTGACTTGCTTTCTCACTTTTTTTCTCTCTCAGGTCATACTAAAATGATAATAATAATAGGGGCCGGCAGGTGGTATAGTAGTTAAGGTGCCTGGACTCCCACCTGGCTGATTGTGGTTCAAGTCAAGTCCCTAAACGTGATAGCTTTCTCGTTTTCTTTCTCTCTGTCTCTCTCTCTCTGGTGAACTTCAAAAAAAAAAAAAAAAGACAGTGAATAAAATTAAAGTAAATAAAATGGGTAAAAGTATGAGTATTTTTAGTGCACATAAAATTTGAAACTTCATAGTTTCTTCACTTTTTTTTTAAGGTTTTGTTATGGGACACATGTGCTTACTGGACACACAGAGAGAGAGAATGAGAAAGCACCTCCAGGGGGAGTGGCCACACCACAATTCCTTCTCCTCCATTCTCCTTTTGGGATTTGGGGCACACACATAGGTCTGAGGCTCAGACCATGCAGTCAGGTATGTGAGATCCACCTGCCTTAACCATGAAAGATACAGAGAAAAGGAGAGATCACAGCATGTGATCATGCCGCAATTCTCCATTTTTACATCCTGCTAGGATTTGGGCATACATGCACTCGTATCCAGTGTGACTTCCAAACGGCCAACACTAGTATTCCAACCACATTCAGCCATGTGGGGATCTAGCTCCCTCCCTTAACTACTTGAAAACAGGGCTAGCCGTTCCATGAGCTTTTGGAAGAACTCTCGATATGCTACAGATAAATTTTTCATCATGTATCATAGTTGATGCTTAGCTATTCCAACAGTAGACAATATAGAAGAAAAACAGATTTGTCATAAAAATTGTCAAAATAGTCCTTATTTTCTCTAACATTCATTTCTGAGATGACTGACCTTTCCTAAAAAATATATATGTAGGCAAGTTTGAGATTTCAGATTGAATATTTACTTTTTATTTGCTTTTCTGTATAGGTATAAATAGAACAGCCTTAAGAGAGATAAAATTATTACAGGAGCTAAGTCATCCAAATATAATTGGTGTGAGTATGATCTAAATTGTTTCTGGGATTGGGATACTGCCTTTTGTGAATGTGGTGGGTGTTCATTGAAGGTGTCTAGGTGAATCTTGCAGAAGAAACTTGAAAATTTATCAGTCCAAAATGTACTTTCTCTCCTAATAGTTCCTATAGGCAGTATCTATAAAACTATGTAACTGATAAAAACAAATTAAGTATTGACCTAGAGATTGGTTTTGAAGCTGACAGAGCTCTTGGCATAGTGGTTAAAAGGGCACCTACATTCATAACTTTTCTGTCTCTGAGACCTTGTGTAAGTTCCCTTGCAACTCCATCACAGTTCTGCCTCATATGTTGTGAGATTAGCTAATCAAATATACCTGCGTGTCTGGCATAGTGCCTGCCATAAAGAATGTACTCATTCCTTTCCTTAGTACTGTCCAAAAAGGGACAAATGTCAAATTTATTGAAATTATTTAAGCTCTATGGAGAATTACCAACAGTCCAAAAGCTTGTTTAAATGTTTAAAAATCATCTTAGTTGATATGGTACTGTCAAGCATTAGAGAACCACATTTTAACTTAAAATTTTTTTTTGCTTTGCAGCTCCTTGATGCTTTCGGACATAAATCTAATATTAGCCTTGTCTTTGATTTTATGGAAACTGATCTAGAGGTAGGGTTCTTAGAGATATTTTTCTCTCACTTTATTAATGGAGAAATGTTTATAATAAACTGTTTGTTTATACCTGAGAAGATACTAGTAGTCAGGGGCCAGCAGTTGGTGTAATGGCTATGTCACTGGACTCCCATGTAGTCAACTGTGGTTCGAGTCCCAGACCTGGTGGCTTAAACTCATGCCAGGTGCATGTATGTGTGTGCCCAAGATCCTGAGAGGAGAATGGAGGAGAAGGGATTGTGGCATGGCCATCCCCCCTAGGGGATGATTTCTCGCTTTCTGTCTCTCTGTCTTTTTGGCGAGTGCTCTTGCCCTATAGCAAAAACTCTCAAAAAAAAAAAAAAAAGATACTGGTTATCCAAAAGATGCTAACTTTATTAAAATCTGGATGTATTCTTAATGTTAAAAGATCTCTGTTTTTTACTTTTTATTATTTAGCTGTGTTTCTAGTGTAGAATAAAAGGATTTGGATTTCATTGGCTTTTTTTCCTTTGCCTTCTTTTTTTAAAAATTAGCAAAAGGTACATGTGCTCTTCAGAGAGAGAAAAATATAGCAGGAAAGAGAAAACACCCTCTAGTGGGGCATAGTCATGCCACAGACCTTTTTCCTCCATTTCTACACATTCATCAGGATCTTAGGAATGGACACACAAATGTCCAGTGTGTTGTGTTTTTGTTTTTTGGTTTTTGCTTTAATGTATTTATTTACATTCATTCACTATACATCATTACAGCAAACAAAATGAGATTTCCCATCCAGAATACACTGTATATTGACTTAGTCCAGCACATCAATATACGCCCTGCGATGTTTCACCCTCGTCCCACACTGTCTCTGGTATCCATGGTTTTGCTTTCTATGCCTTTTCCCTCCATTTTATTTATTTGCTAATGAACTTAATTAATCTAAATACTTCGATAGCAAGCACAGCTGATATATACATATCCATGAACACAAGTCTGACTTTAAGCATAAACCTCAGTGAGTAGAATGAACATATGATAAAGTAGCACCTAGCAAGGACTGTATAGCTTACTGCAATCATCAAATATACATTTTTTTTTTAATTTCAAGAAAAATAGTTTTTGTGTTATTTTTTCTCCTGAAACTTTTTTTTTTAATTAATTAATTTACATTCATTCCCTAATCATTGTCACGGCATACAAAAAGTGGTTTCCCATCCAGAATATACTGCATAGTGGCTTAATCATGTATGTTATCATCAATAATTTTCCATTTCTAGTTTCACA